CAGTTAGACCCACTCTACTGTAAACCCTCGATTCAACGAACTTCAGACTTAACAGACATTTCCGGTCTGTACTTCATGTGAAAATTAACACCCTGTTCATTTTAAAATGCTTTTAACCAAGATTTGCTTACACTTAACAGGTTTTTTTTTTGTCATTAATTCACTGTTATTTTTAACAGATTTTAGCGAGCAGGCCATATGTTGGAAAAAACACTGCAGTAATTTCGCCGACATAAATAAATCTTACATATCTGCAACTATAGCCTACATATTTACATGCAGGAGTCACTGCGGGTAAACAACGTTTGGACAGTGATGGGCATGTGATCACACATCACGTGCAGTCACGTGTGGGCAAGACTTTCTGCAGTTTGAACCCGTGCTGGCGATGGTCCCACGTGCGCTAAGCCCCGCCCCAGCCTGCGCACCTGTTTACTCGTGGTGACTGGTGACCGAACGCACTTACTGGACCTACTCCATAAATTTAAAACCACAGGGACACAGAGGAAACTCTTCTGTGGAATTAGACCTTTCATACTTACTTAACCTTAATTACCCAAATGCGTCTACACAAGTGAAAACAGGTAAACTAGTTTGTCAATTTTTTAACAGAAGCATTCGGAAAACTTCACTATATAGAGGACTTTTGGCTCTAACGGGCACCCCCTTGCCCCAATTCAGCCGTATATGGAGATTTTGCCGTACAAGTCATTGTGAGCCGCTCACTAGTCTTTAACGAGCCCCAGTGACGGACGCAGCTGGTCGGCACGTGCAGTGGGTTGAGTAGTGTCTCCCCAAGTTCATGTTCCCCTGGAACCTATGAAGGTGACCTTACTTGCAGACGAGAGCTCTGCAGCTGTCATCAAGTTGAGACGAGGTCATACTAGGCCCTGACCCAACGTGACTGCTGTCCTTAGAAAAAGGCGGAACTTTGGACGCAGACATTTGCATCGAGGGAAGGGGGCCAGCGACAGCGTTGGCAGAGGCTGGAGCTGTGCTGCCACGAGCCACGAGCCACGAGCAAACCTCCAAGGGCTGCTGCCAACCACGGGAGCTAGAGGCAAAGAAAGGCTCCTCCACAGGCTCCAGAGGGAGACTGGCCCTGCCGACACCTTGAGTTTGGACTTCTGGCCTCCGGAACCGTGAGAATGCACTTCCGTTGCAAACACCCAGTTTACAGTGTTTTGTTAGAGCAGCCCCCCCGGGAAGCAGATACACTGAGCCAGCACCCACTCCCCCAGCAGACCTGGGCTTCGCTCCGGTAACTACGCCCCCTCCAGTGACCGCTGCCCGAGGAGGCTGACCTTGCCCGGGTGGGATGGCCAACCCCAAGGCAATCCTACCTGAGGCCAGCGATGGCTCTGGAATGAGTGCGTGACCCAGAGCTGGCCGGGAGGAGGGGAGGGGAGGAGTGTGGACGCCTGCCCCCATCACTCATCACTCCTGACACCTGTCCCCTCGGACGCTGCCTGCGGGGCCCGGGGGCAGGTGGAGGGCACCTGGGCTCGCGACTGTGAGCTGCCCAGTCGACCAGCCGGGGCTTCGAGGACGCGGGTTTCGAGCAACGCGAGGCGACCGAGTCAAGCATTGTCCCTCCTCGGTCCACATGGCTTATCGAGCTACAAACCCACTGACAGCTGGCGAGAACCACCGTCCCCGCCTGGATTTTCCAAGTGGTGGTTTACTGTCCCGAGCAACTCCCAGCTGGCCCCGTTTGAATGAAGACAGTGCGTAAAAGCATTTTACTAAACAGTCGGTTACGAAAACGCGTGAACCAAACAGGGCTTCCCGTCCAGCCATCCACACCACAGGGATGCTTCCTTCAGCTCTTGGGGGGCTGGAGCAGGGGTGGTGTCTTAGTCTGCCGGGGCCGAACCGGGGGGCTTACAAACAAGAAACGTTTATTACTCACAGTTCTGGAGGCCGGGAGGTCAGGATCACGGTGCCACCGGACTCGGTGACCGGGGAGGACCTGGTTCCTCACTCAGGTCTTCTCCCCGTGACTTCAGGTGGCCGAAGGGCGGGGAGCTCTTGGGGTGCCTTCTGTAAGGGCACTAATCCCACTCACCCCACCTCCTAACGCTATCACCTTGTCCAAAGATTTCAACACAGGCATCTGGGGGACACAAACCTTCGGTCCACAGCAGATGAAAATGTTCTTTCTCTACGCGTCAGGTAACCCCACAAAGCGGTTCCCGTTCCAGGCTTCTCCCCCGACCCGGCTTCCCCCATTCCGAGAAGGAAAAGACGCCCTCACAACTCGCCTGGCTCTCAGCCCCGGGCTGCCTGGCTCCGTTGGGTATATAAACGTCGCCGACCCACTCCCCTCCTTTCCCCCCGTGAGCAGCTGGGCCCTCCTCCGGCCGCAATGTGCTCAGCACCCTGCGAGCTCAGGGCTCAGCTGCGGGTCCCCCTCCAGCTCACTGCCTGGCGTGTCCTGCGGGTCCCTCAGGTGCATGTTGCTTCTCTGGGGCCAGGACCGCCGGGGCCTTGCCTTGGAGTGTCCCCCCTTGCTCCCCTCTCACCCCCAGGCAGCGTCGCTGGGCATTTCCAGGCTCTTGCCCGTTTCCCGAGGTTGCCTCTTTGCTTGTTACTTTGGTTCCTTGACCCCACACGTGACAGCCAGTGTCGGACTGTCCTTGGCTCCAGGCCGCATCTCATCCTTCCCTCGCTGAGCACAATGCTGGGCTCCTTTCCTGGGCTAACCTTCACCCCTAACCGAAGGCTGTCGACCACCTGCTTTCAGGGAAAGCTGGACGGGAAAGGGGGCGCAGCCTCCGCCTCCTCTCAGGTCCTGAACCTCAGGGCTGAGGCAGAGCTTGGCTCTCTGCTGTGGACGCCACGAGCCTTCTTCCTATTTAGCATTAACTTTAATTTGCATTTTTCTATGAACATACATTCTACTTTGTGCACTTTGAATAAGGTTACTTTTTTGAGATCCACTGGGTCACCATGAGTATGTATAAGATCATGATACAAACAGAAAATACGAAAGTAGAGGCTAGGAAACAAAAAAAGCTACAGAGAACAAGGAATGGAAAATCTTCAGAGAGGTGGCCCGCTTAAAATTTTAAAACTCCGTAATAATAAAGTGAGCACAAACAGGGCATTGCACAGTCTTTATTTAATGGAAATTTAATTACCGACAGAACAATGAAAATCTATACAGAAACCAGTCTCATCAAATCCACAACACGAGGAGGCCGAGATCCCTGCAATTTCACCCTCTTTATTAAAAATGTAATTACTGATCTAAACAATAGGACCGTAGCGGGGCTGCACTCGCAGGGGGCCTCCGGCGGCGTGCGTGGAGACTCCGAGAGTCGGGGGTTCTCCGTGACACGGGGCGTGCGGCGGTCACCCTGGGTCTCCGAGGGAAACCCACAGGCAGAGGCAGTAAAAACAGTGGGGGGACTAGGGGCCAAAGAATGTAGGAAGTTAAGGGCAGAGGACATGATCAGAAGAGTACAAGGGAAATAAGTGAGCGTTGAAACAGCAGGAGGGCTCACGACCAGCCGGCGGCCGCCCAGCCCCGAGCGCCAGCCGGGCTGGAGGAAGGGGGAGTTTCTCCCAAGGGCTGTCCCCTCAGACGCCTGGTGCTAGCCTGGCTTTTGCGTGACCGTGTGCAAGTCTCTCCCCCAGGGTCAGTGGCGAAAGCCTCGGCGCTGGCCTCGGGCTCAGGTTTTGGCATCTCTGTCGTTACTCAGAGGTGATGAAGTTAACTGGCTTTGAAACTGTCCTTCTGGAGACTGCCCCCGACTGCGGAGACCCGCTAGCAATTTCAGACCAAAAACTCAGCTGGAACGAGGCAAACATCTGCATACGTTTTGGGTCGATGGGGTGAGGAGCGTGTTCAGCCCGAGGAAGCACAGGACCCCTGCTCTCCTTTCCGCAGGACTGTGGGCTCGGCCTCAACTTTCTGGGGCTGTTTTTTTGTTTTTTGTTTTTTAAAAGGTGTTTTTAGCTTTACGTAGCTAGGATTTAAATTTTCCTTTTGTCCCATCTTAACATCTTTTATTTTTAATAGGTGATTTTAAACTTATACCTGTAACCACTACTACGTGTGGCTATATTTCTACCTTATTTTGTTTTCAACTTTTTCTTTTTCAAAAACAATTTTTTTTTTACATGTGTCTTTATTGTTTTCAGAGAGAGGAAGGGAGAGGGAGAGAGAGAGAAACAGCAATGATGGGTCACTGCTCGGCGGCCTCCTGCGCGCCCCTGATGGGGATCGAGAGGCAACCCGGGCCTGTGCCCTGACCAGGAACCGAACCGCGACCTCCTGGATCCTAGGTCGGTGCTCAACCATTGAGCCACGCCGGCCGGGCTCAACTTATTCTTAAAAAAACAACAACAAAAAACTGGACTTTGGAAGTGACTTCTTCCTGTAGCTGCAGCTGCCCCCACAGACGGGGGCGCCAGGCCCCGCAGCCACGGCCCAGGCTTCGGCCACGCGGCGGGGCAGGAGGCCCGGTCGGGAGATGGAAGCCGTCACCTCGACCTGCCCACGCCCCTCTGCGGGAACTCGGGACACAGGCCCTCGGGGTCTCTCCCGACTGCGAATCCCGATCTGAAGGAGTGGCACCAGCTACGTGTTTTCTGACCTCCGCCCTTTCTGTCGTTGGTAAAGCAGTGCGCTTACTTCTGCTTTCCAAGACATGGAGTTGTCTTTTATATTATTTTTTTACATTACTGAACGTGCCTTTTCAAACTCTACAGCCCCCGCCCCTCATTCCCGATGCGGTGCGGACACAGTTCCTCGTGGGGCCCGGACACCTTCCCCTTGAGAGGCACTGAGCCGAGGGAACACGAGTCCTGAAGAACAGCCCGTGACGAAGCCGGTAACCAAGCCCGAGGAGACGGTGCCCCGTTTAACGGAGACACCGCTGGAACGGGCACGGCGGGCGACTCTGACGACACCGGGCGCCTTCTGCTCGCTAAACCACCAGGCAAGCTCCTCGCCCGAGGACGAACGCGGACGCGTCGCCACACACCAGTCGTCGTGACAGAGCCCACGGCTTTATTCTGTGGAAGTGATTCCTCACCGACGGGACCGAGAGTCACACCCTCATCTCCCACCAGTCTCAGTATCTACAGCTACAGCTTCCAGAGTTTCCTAAAGAACATCTTTGTCAGTTTCCACCTAGTTCAGCAGCTTGGAACTGAATGTCTGCCTGTTACTAATACTCCAGATGTGGACAGAGGGAAACTTCTGTGTTCCCTGAAGGCAGAATTATACCGAAAGAACTTAAAAACGTTTTCGAGAAGATATGAGTAGACTCCTTCCCAAATTTAAAAATGATTTCCTGAGCCTAAGCTGAGCAGGCCTGAGAGATAAAATAGAAAAGGTCCGCCCAAGATCCATGACCGAGGACCCACATAAATCGCCCCGACGCTGCGGAGGGCTACTCCCCACAGAGGCACGCGAGCTCAGGGTTTCACGCCAGCCGGCGAGCGGCAGCGGGCCCTCCCGTGCGGTCAGTACGCCCCATCGATGTGCTTCGCGATGGTGTTCAGCTGGATGTTTGAGGTGCCTTCGTATATTGTACCTTAAACGAGAGGGAGGGCGAGTGAGGCGTGGACACAGGGCAGCTGTGCAAACATACCCTGCGTTTGCTAGAGATCGTTACTGCCGACGTCACCCAGTGTCCTCTGGACGTGCTACCTGGGGTGGCTGCCTGAGCGATGCCAACTTTCCACTTGGAAATCAGATTCTGACCCAGAATCAGCACTAAACAGGTGGAGGTTTTCGTTCCTGAACTATCAACACAGAGGCCTTGAGTGTGACTCGGGGACGCCCAGCTTTCAGTGCCGCGGATTCTGCCCTCCCGGCTGGTACAGAGCCTCGGGACACTCAGGCTTGAAGGCACTTAGCCTCTGAATTAGAACTGAAGCTTCAAAGAACAGCACTAAACAAACCCAAAACACTACCTTTTTATTAAAAGAAAAACTAAGACATATTTTTTTAAACCTCGCCCGAGGATGTGTTTTTTTCATTGGTCTTTAGAGAGAGGAAGGGGGAGGGGCAGGGGCATGGAGGTGAAGAACACCGATCTGCCGCCTCCCGCAGGGGCCTCGACCGGGACTGAACCTGCAGCCTTTTGGTGCAAAGGCTCCGTCACCTGAGCCACCCGGCCACGGCAAGGCAGGTTTTGTTGTGGTTTTACTAAAAAGTCTTTTGCGGCATTTAAAAAGGCAATCTGATGTTTTTAAAAATATAAATCCATTTTTTTTGAAGGAAGAGGTGGGAAAAAGCCCAGCCACAGAAAAGGAGCCAAAGCCCATAATACCGAGGAGATGAAAACTGCCCCAGCCTGGGCACCAAGCACATAACACCAACCACACATAGCAGCCTGGACGCCTGCAGAGTCAAACAAAACAAAGCGGAACAAAACGGAGAAATCTACTTACCGATCTTTGCATCTCGGAAGAACTTCTCCACGGGGTAGTCCTTGGTGTAGCCCACACCTCCCATCCACTCGATACACTTGCTGGTCGTCAGTCCTGCCATCTGCCAAAAACAGGCAGCAAATCACCTGCTGAGCCCACAGCTTAAGCGTTACAAACACTCGTGTGCTGCGGTGGGGCGGGTAGATAAAGCTGAAATTGGGTCCAGAAGCCTGGTGCTCAAAGGGGACGCTGAAGCAGATTAATTTTGGGGGTGAAGGAGTTAAATGAATGTGTGAAAAACTAAGGAATGCTCAACCGATGTCCTAAGGGAAAAGGTTAGTAAGTGCACTGGGGGGAAAGGGCTGCATTGTTGCTGGTGTTATTACTACTGCTATTCACCTCCGACGCGTAGTACTTGGCCATGGCAGCTTCTTTTATGAACGGCTTCCCCGCGTCCACGAGCCTGGCCGCGTTGTACGTCAGCAACCTCGCGGCTTCCAGCTGGGTGGCCACCTGGGCCACTTGGTGCTGCAGCCCCTGTGTCGTTTAGGCTCAGGTTAGAGAATTATGGTTTCTGAAGTGACAGCCCATCCTAGAAGTCCCGCCTGGACGTGGAAAACTAGGAGACTCAGGACATACCCAAAAGGAAATTCGCACTCATTTTGTAAAAATATTTAAAATCTGCAATCTAAACTGAAATATGATACTACATGTATTAAGAATTTTTCAAAGTTCATGTAATTCTGTATAACTGTCAAGATTGAAAAAATAAATGATCACAAAGTTAAGTTTAAAAATGTAACATTTAATTATTATTTTCAATGCTCTTTATGATTCAAATTCCCGTTAAACAAAATTCCAGCAAAGGAAAAATTTGAATATATTTTTTATTTGTTTGAATTAACAAAATTTCGGTTCTGCATATAGTCCCTGCCCTCAAGGAGCTTGTAGTCTAGAGGACAGGAGATATGGTCATGAGCAGAGCAGAAAACAAGGCATTCTTGTGAGATTAAAGCAGTTAGAAAAAACCTCTAACTTTACTCAAAGCTTCACAGAGATATATAAAACCAACAATGTTGCTTTTCATGGTCATATTTCTAAGTTTTCTTTCAATCACCCACCCCAGGCATCCCTAGAAATGTCACGATTATACCTATTAGCACCCCTGGCCCCTGCTCCCCACTCGACGGGCGCCCTGCTTCTGTGCGCTAAGGAGGCCAGAGCCTCCCGACACGGTTGTCACGCTCTGGACCCTGCTGCCGTCTGCGTGGTGCTGGCTTGGAGCAAGTACTCGAGTATAAAGGGTGAAAGCCTGACCAGAAGCCACGACACTGCCCCTGCCCCTGACGCCGTGCCCGCTGCATGAGCTGGGCCCTCAGGCTCCGCGGCAGGACGGGGGCGTGAGCTGTGGCCGGCCCTGGGCGGGCCTGCGTGCTCAGGCCTCCCAGGCCCTCAGCTGCCTGTCACGCCCACGGCCTAGCGTCCTGCACACCCGCAGCTGTGGCGCTGGCGCTGCTGAGTCGTTACCATGCCAAGCCGGCGGCGTAGCAGTGTGCCTGGAGCCAGAGCTGCTGAGAAAGGGACCCCCTGCTTCCCTCGGTGATCAGCTGCCCCGTCTCCCCCCCAAGACTTGCTGAGGACGGAACGTGGGTGGAGAGGAAGCCCGCGTAGGGCCACCAGCCAACCCCGCCTGCCGGGGAGCTGCGAGAAGCCAGTCACTGGGCCAGGCCAGCGCCACCCAACACCCGGCCGGAGCGGCTCACAGGCACTCTCTCAGCCCCGCGCCTCCTGCAGCGAGCGTCGGGCAGCAGGGCCCTCTGCGGGTTTCTGCGCAGACCTGGCCCGACGGTCCCGGCTACGAACACTGCCAGGCTCGGGCGACGTGCTAGCACTTCACATCCACCTGATGGGAACCACTCTAGAGGACGGGCGGGATCATCTTTATTTTACAGATGAGGCAGGTGCAGCTCAGAGGGGAGGTAACTTGTCCAGGGCCTAAAGCTAGTGAAACAGAGGATTCGAACACCGGATGTCTGAGTGCAGACCCCACGTCCTGGAACCTCCGAAGCTGTGAGGAGACAGCTCTAGAGCTCTCCCAAGGGACCCCGAATCAAGAGCCAGCCGGGCCGCGAGGACTCCGCTCTGCCCTTGGAGAAGGTCAGGCACTCACAAGCACCCCGAGATCCTTCCTCCCCACTCTCTCCCATGAACATCCCGAGGGGACCCCTCTGCCTGTGACACCCCTCCCTCTTCATTACCAGGACGACAGGGAGTCCAGTGCAGTAGAAAATGCTAATAATTACAAACCTGAAAATCAAACAATCTTTTGCCGAACTGCATCCTTTCTTTAATATATGGAACCGTGTAGTCAAAACATCCTTGAGCTATTCCCAGCATCTGTTTAAAAAAAAAGGTCAGAATTTCTTATTTTGTTATAACTATAACGATCTTAATTATTCAAGCTACAAATTTCTTTCACAGGCAGACTGAAGACTTGGGGGAAGGAAGAACTAGGGATCCCAAGGTGCTGGGGGGCACGTGAGTGACCGTCACCCCTGAAATGCAGGACCGGACTCAGTGACTTCAAGAAAAAGAGCGATTTCCTACAAAAACACGTGTTTAACTTTCGGCATGGAGGTGAATCTCCCGCACGGCTGTGCTCACACCGCCAGGTTATGTTTTGGGAAACGCCTCCTCCTAGCTCCAATTCTCCAGGCATAACGTGAGCCCCAGAAACTCTGCTCAGAACTGTGTTCAGAGACGGGAGCAGCCCCTGCAGCCCTTCCAGAGGTCAAACGCGGAGGTCACTTAACCTCCTACCTTCACGTCCCGACCGGGATGAGCAAGGCTCCGGTGGAAGGAGCATTAGAACGTGAACCCGCTGCCACCAGGACCACTGGGACCTTCATTAAAAACCCCGACGTGGGGGTCTCACAACTGAGCCCAGGCCTTGGGTGGAGGGGCCAGGGTGGCCCAAGCCCGGGCATTCAGGAAACTCCGCCGGTGACAACGCGGACCTGGGGTGAACGCTCAGGCGCGACGGGGAGCCGTTAGCTCACGCCCTCGAAGAGCAAACCAGGGCGTGTGGCGACGTTAGCTGCCTCCTCTCACTGCCGACCCACCTCCACATCTACTGGACGGCTCACGCTCGGGAGTGGTTCCTAAACCTCAACGTTACGTCGTCATTAAATCACTATCTAATTATGTCAGACTATGGAGGCTTCAGAAAGAGGAAAAGAGAATCGATAGCTAAAGCTTTTGGGGGAAGTGCCCGAAAACATCAATATTTCATTAGCATTCATCACATTTTCCTTAAGCTTTTTATTTTAAACTCTCTGGAGAACAGAATATCATGCGAACAACTAAAGGACACGAACAAACAAATCTCCACAGGAGCCACGTGAAGCGGGGCAGACCCGCCGCGCTCCTGGCTGGGGGCTAAGATGTCGTCTTACCCCTAGAACTAGAGCTATGGTCTGTCAATACCACCCTACTGACGTGAAAACAGAAATGACCGGATGCCAGTCCAAACGGGCCCTGCCACCTCTGTGAGACGTTTCCACCGTCAATGCTGGAAACCTACCTGTCCTCGGCTACAGAGGCCGGAGGATGGACGCTCAGTCCGCTGCTACACGCGCCTCTTTCTCTAACAGGCGCCCGCAGTGTAACCAGGAACAAACCACTCCCTGACCTTAACTCTTAACCAGGTTATAAGTTAACTTGGAGAAATCAGGCTCAAGCCCTGCTGGGCATTTTACTACCAGAACATCTGCACTATTTCTGTGTCTGGGAACAAGAGATCCAGGACTGTAGTTTTAATGCCCCATCTGGTGAAGCGCAATCCCAGGAAAACTTTAAAAAGAACAGATGCGCCAGTTCTCTTTAGTAATACAGTATCCAGTTTTGTGCGGAATCCAAGAATATGCTGCTAGCAAATTAACAGCAGCAAAAAAATCTTGAGTAATTTTACATTTAACTAATCGAGCAGCTAACCTATATGTAGCATCTTCAAAATCTAAAAGCGCTTCAGTTTTTAAATTCTGGATACTCACTGATGAAAGTAAATAAATATATTCTATAAAAATGACATAACTTATAATAAAACTGAAGACTTTATTCATTTTCTTAATCTAGAAAATAACTGATATCACTTAATAGAAGCATGTGATATGCATCACACAGGGCAGATGCGGTAAAAAAAAATGGAACAGCGCTCATCTTACGTATCTGCTTAACTGTGGCTATTTTATTTCCAGTGTCACACACACAAAAATCGCCTGAATTTCACATGCAGAACACTAAGAACAAGCATTTCATTATCTATAGATTAGAGACTTTTACAACATAGTACAATATTATTCTTAATTTTAAAATTTCTTCCAGAATGATTTTCATGCTTTGAAAAGTTGATTAAATAAAAAAAATACCACATTTATGATACGTTTTAGAAGTTACGGATCTGGGTATTGGGTAATACTTTCACATCCTCAAAGCAGAAAGACGGTCACCACTAAGTTGCTGTTTGGTTTCCAGGATATTATGTAATTGAACAAAGAGGAATTTTAAGGAAAGCCAGGAGCCCGTCTCCTGGAGGGAGAGGGTGCCACCCTGTGTCCACAGGCTTCCAGCACTCACTAGTTTCACGGCATTTTCCCTCCCTGTATTTTCTTTCTCTGCCCACATCGTCACGGGCCAGCGTGGAAGGTGCACTGTGTGCTAAGCTGTAGGGTCCGACTGACCTGCGCGGCGATTCCTATCCTCCCCTCATTGAGGCTCCCGATGGCGTACTTATAGCCGTGGCCCAGTTGCCCCAGGATACTGGCTTCTGGAACCTGGAAAAAAATGCAGTTATTTCTCAATTTAATTTGACATAATTCATTTTGATCTTATATTTGTAAATGCACCATCTACTCCAAGGAAGCCGTCGGCCACATCTCTGTGTCTCACAGTAAACACACAGTCCCTACACTGCGCTGGGAGAGGGGGCACCACCGGGGCCCCCAGAGCCCAGCCGGCATTTGCTGAGTGATGGATGAATCTAGAAGAAAGGAGAGAGCTGGGGAAGCATGAAGCTCACATGACATCTGTGAACAGCCCATGAGCACGGTCAGCCGTGAGCACTCAGCCCTGAGGGAAAGGTCGGGTTTTGGCTCACGTGGCAGAGGACCCGTCACAGCTGCTCTGTCTTGGTCAATCTCGGTCAAGTCCTAGAGCCCCAGCATCCAGCAACTGTCTCTTACTCATTTTCAACAGACTCTGCTCAAAACTGGGGTGTTCTCAGCTGCCTGGTGGTGGTCACCTCTCCCTGAGCAACACCCCCATCTTGTGGCCTTCAGTGTACCCAACGCCAGGCTTCCTTCTCTGAAGCCGGCTTGGTTCACATGTATAAACAAGGTTAATTCTCCACATTGGCTCTTGAGGCCGGCAGCTGGGCAACGAGGCTTCCACTTGTGGCCTGAACTCTTGGGAAAGGGCACTTAATCGTGACCGAACCTCAGCACTTGGCCTAGAGTCTCACGGACCCCTCCCTGTGGTGGGGACACCTGTCCTGCACATCAGGGCTCCATGCAGACAGAGTTCACATCAGTCTCAATGCTACTGGACACCCTCAGACACCCACCTTGACGTCCTCGAATGTCAGCGAGCAGGTGGAAGAGGCCCTGATCCCCAGTTTGTCTTCCCTCTTCCCTACATGAAGGCCCTCTGTGTCCCGGTCGACCACGAAGCAGGTGATTCCTCTGTAGCCCTAGGAGATCGACAACGTGATCACTCGGGCTGACAAGATCCGTGTTTCCAAAGAGTTCAAAGGAAACAGAAAACTGAAAATGAACTTTAGCAATAAATACGAAGGGACTCGGACGCAACATTACATTACAAAACGAGGGTTAGAGGGCATTAGGTTGAAACTAAAAAACGTTGCCACTCTCCCTTTTTCAGAAACCACCAGGGCTGTCAAAGAAGTTACTCTACAGTGTTAGAGGATCATGAGAACTCCATGTTTTACATTTAATTTTATTAAACACTTCAAAGGTTTAAAATTTAATTCAATTAAATGTTACATTAGAGAAAAGACAAAGGTTAAAATGCATTTATTTTGCTATATATATGTCTATTTCCCAATTGAATAAAATACCCTTAAAACTGAATGTACTAAATAGGTACTTAAATTTTTCATTATTAAATAGAAAATTTGAAATTCTACACAATTAAAGGGTTATCTGGGTACAATAACTGCACCAAAACTATTTAGGTGGTCAGTGAACAGGAGGGTGACAGGTGTCGGTTGTCTCCCTTCCAGCCTGAGAAGAATGAAGAACCCAAGACAAGTCCTAACGGGACACGGGAGCAGGAGAGAGATAAAGAGAAGGGGGGGGATGTTGTTGGGGACTGACCATGGCAGGGTCCATGTTGGCCATCACCAGGAAGATCTCGGCTTCCCTAGCGTTGCTGATCCACATCTTTGACCCATTGATGACGTAATAGTTTCCCTTCTTATCAGCTCTTGTCTTCAAAGCAAATGAATCACTACCTGCTCCAGCCTCTGAGAGGCAGAAACTTCCTACCTGCACGGAAGGAAAAGTCCCTGGTTAATACCTGTATTATCCTGTGTAACCAACACTCATGGAAAACAAACAGCTTTGAGTCAACTGTGCTGCTGCTTTTAAAACTTGTACTTATCAAAACAGTAATGGTATTCTGACAGGAGTATTTCCCCAAATACCCTATTTGTCTAAGACAGGTTTAAGACCTAAGTACACATATTCGATGTTAGGTTTAATTAAATCGGTTCTAATAATTACAGTAGAAAGACATCTCGATGTAAATGAAGCCACCCATGAGGGTGTTACAGAACATAACTGAGCAAAAAATAATCATTCTGTTGTCCCTCGATTATTCTCTAAGTTTCCCAGTGGTGACGGGAGGCAGAGTGTGTTTCTGGCAGCGCTCATTTGCTGAGTGGGACCCTCAGTCAGCGACGCTCCCTGCGGATGCGACAGTCACCTCAGCGCCACGCCTACCTTTCTCCCAAAACACTGAGACCCGCCCCGCCGGCGCCCCACCTTCTCCGTAGCCAGCTGGGTCAGGTAGGTCGCCTTCTGCTCTTCCGTCCCGTGCTTCCTGATCAGCCCGTTGACCACCGTGTTCTGGACGTCACATATCAGGGCCACAGAGGCATCCACCTTGGACAGCTCCTCCACCGCCAGGACGAGGGAAAAGAAGGACGCCCCGGTCCCGCCGTACTTGGTGTCGACGTCCACAGCCATCAACTGCGGGACAAACAAGGAAGCACCGGGCACATTTCTCACAAGAGCAAGTGAAGAGATACATTGTAACCATGTGGGTCCCATTTACTTTGCTTGTACTATGACAGAAACCACACACAGTGAAGAGACACATTGTAACCACGTAAGTTCCATCTTACTTTGCTTGTTCTATGACACAGGAACCACACACAGTGAAGAGACACATTGTAACCACGTGGGTTCCATTTACTTTGCTTGTTCTATGACACAGGAGCCACACACAGTGAAGAGAATGAAACAACCAAATGCTGCAACTACTTGTTTCCATCTGAGGCCTCCGAGGACAACTACGG